TAGTATTTCTTAAAGAATATTGAGCTGCTAATAAATAGCACGTTATTTATTCATAAGAATACATAAATTCTATTGCCTACACCAATAACAGTTTATCGGTATAATTAAGTATAAAAAATCTTTACCTACTAATGGTAAGATTGAAGTTTCGGTCACCTAATAAGAAATAACACAATTATATTGAGTCACATTTCAAAGAATAAAGAAAAATCCCATGAAGCACTTTAATTTATGAATAAGTTATACGATAAACATAAAGTTAACTGGCGTAAGATTATTTTACTTCATTGTAGGATAAGTAAATGTAGTTATAAATGTTGTATATTATACGAATTCCAATTATGTCTGAATTTCAGTAAAATAAAAGATGACTATTACACTACATCAAAATATTCGTTATGAATGAATAGAAATTTTATGGACACTTTATTAAAAAATAAATTTGAACGTTTTAAAATGTTGCTGTCACATTTAAAACATTGTAATAAGCCTATGGAGATCATTTCCAAAAATTCCTTAGAATATACTGATGTTAAGAGGTTTGCGCATACATCGTGGTTCATAAAATAAAACGGTAAATGGATTAAATCCAAGTGTTTACACATAAATGAAAACTAAATAGTAAGATATTTCAGTAGAAGATAATAAAAATTTTGACAAAATAACAGATTAGTGTTTTAACTTTTGCTCTAATAGAAATGTATTATTGTTGTTTCCAACTTAACTTGTTTCCCATAAATTCCAGCGTAATTTTCTGACTAGATTATAGAAAAACAAAAGATTATGTACATACACTGTTGACATCATCACTGAGTAGATTAGATTGTTTTGAAAAACATTATAAACACTATTTGGTTTTAAGAATAGTTCACTTCAGTAAAATTCAATGTTAAATTCTTTAAGTTCTTGTCTATTTGAACTCATTATTAGTTTCAATTACATTCAATCTTGACTAATATTTTTATTAACATTGATGCGTATGAATTTTCGTTCAGAGTATGGCGAAATTTTTATCCAACTCTAAATCGTTCTTCAGTAATTATATGTTCAATAATATTCAACTGATTGAAAAATTTAATTTACCTTATGTTTTAATACATGAACAACAATAATAATGACTGATGATAGTATTAGATTTAAATGATCGTATAAATAATCAAGAGTAGAATTTTTATTTTCTTTGCCAAACGTATAAAAAATAAGTGAATAATTCTCAAAAAAATATTATTTTTTTAAAATTAGTTATTGATCTCTCGTATTAGATAAAATAGCTTGTCTAAGCGAATCAATGAGATCATCACTTGGCAACATTTATACAAGGAGAGATAGTTGTGTTCAACTATTTCACATGGTTATCAAGTTGTACATGCAAACATTTGTTCTAGAGGGAGAGAATGCAATTCATTTGCGATTATATTCATGATCACATATATCCATCCGAAAGAACTTGTAGATTTGACAGTCATCCATGTAAACAACAGTTCTTAGTACAAGAAAATTCTAACTCATTAAATGTGTTCAAGTTTTCTGAATAGAGTTTTCATACTCTGGATTAAAACATTACTTTATCTTTCATTAATTTACTTTCGTCTGACCTTGGTCAATCCGCATTGTCGTACAGCAACTCAACATGGTTGAAAATGTCTCTGTCATTGATATCACTCGGGATGCGATCCATTATAGGTATTGTTTTCGCTCTACGTACTGTATACGTAAAAATACACGGTTTGTTGTTATATTCTCCTTAATACAGTTACTCTTTATTGCAACCGTATGATAAACGTATGTTTCATGAATAATTATACTGTGAAATTAAGGTGACTAATACTTCTGATAAAGTGTAATGGTTACAACAGATAATTCATTGAAGTTTCACCATTTTATATTATTAATCGTTACTCCGACAGGTGTTAAGTTTTTAGGGAGAATAAGAAATGAAACCGATGTAAACATTGTTATAATATTTGAATGGTAGATATGTAGTCCAATGTACATTTAAGCTAAATACAAAACGAATTTATTTAAAGTGTCCAGACAAATAGAAAGTTCTTGTAAACAACTTTATGTATTATGTAGAAATATGAAAAAAACAGACCTTTTTCTAGGATATTTTATTTTAAATGTTTATGTTTCCACCAAGATATACATCATCTTTTTAAACATCTGTTTATCACAACTATATTAACAGCACTTATTTGTACATACGGATGTTCATTCTATAAAACAGGTGTAAATGTCATTAAGTTTGACTTAAACGAAAGCCAGGTATGTGTCAAAATTATTGAATTCAACATTCAATGTCATTCATTTGTATGTGTCAATTTAATAACCTTTCGATATATCTAATTAGATTCTGCTTTAAAATGATCACCTAATGTTATCAAATGCTTTAAGTCATATGCATGTGTCAGGTATATTATTATTCTGTACTGATACCAGTGAACAGTATATGACTAACAGTAGATTTCAATGAAAGTCGAAGTCTATGTTAAGGTCATTTAGAATATTTATGAGTACTGTTAGGTAATTTAATCAAGAAAGGTATGAGTAAAATGAAGAAAAATTTGGACAAAAGTGGAAAGGGAAGCCCAGGATAGAATAGGTTTGTTAACACTGGTCTGCGGCCTATGCTCCATTTGGGGTGACAAGCGTAAGTAAGTAGGTAAGTAAGTAAGTTTAGCAATTTAATTCTGAAAATTAAACGAAAATAAATCGGTAACTTATCTAATAATTGTATTCAGATTGAACACTGTCAATCACAGAAATATAAATGTTTTTGCATTAACTTTTAATAACTTATCTATTGCCTGGAAGTTTCAAGTTGTTTTCTCGTGAGTCGGACATGAATTCTAACCAATAAATAATCCCATTCTAAGTCAAAATAGATATTTACTGTATCATATCTTGTAAGAACTGAAAACATGCTGTAAGTTCAACGCATTCCTTAGTAGGATCACATTTACAATCTTCAATTCTTTCAATGAAGGAGTTAAGTTGATGTCATTATATGAGAATACAATAATCTGATGAAATAATTCCGTTTGGCCTGGGGTGTACCAAGTAAAACTTCCCAGAATTTTAGATCACATACCATTGGATAAGAAAATTCTATGGTTTAGATTACAAAATAGTATTATTTCTATCACTTAATCATTTCAGTCTTGTATAAATATTTAGTGATCTGCTTAGTAACGTATTATATATATATATATATATATTTATATATATATATAAACGTAGAAACCAAACCAAATTGGTTATTCAGTATGCTTTTATTATTAACTATGCAATGACACTAAATCAACTAAGAAATGAGACTGTTAAAATGAACAGAAGTATACAGTGTTACAAATGAAAGGTAATTATTTTATTTCCTCAAATGTTTTGGTGCAATAAATCATTATCTTGTAAAATAATTTTCTATGTTAATAAACTAAAACAAACGTTTAAGCTAAACTGTAATTTCTGAGAAAAAATTAATTGCAGAAAATCCAACTTGACATCGGACTATAAATTTCCTATGTCCGATTGCGTAGAAATGTATCCAACAAAAGTGTAATAGTACAAACAACGAATACATTGGTGTCAAAAATTTTGCAGTCATACAACTGTGAATTTTTATTGTATAACATCTAAATCAGACGAATAGAAACGAACTAGGAATTAAAAAACATATACTATATTATCAGTATAATAATGTACAGGGGTAAACAAAACCTATTAAAAGTATAATTTAAATAATGGAAGAGTCCAGTTGCACAAGAATAAGTTAAGTGTGACCTTTGTATCTGATGAAGATTTCATTGTTTCTCGTATCACCGTGTTTGTTACGCTAAGTGATTTACAACTTACAGCTCTGATATTGTACAGGACAGTTTCAACATGTGTCGTTAGTTTGTGGGTGAGAAATATATTCAAAATGTTGTTTATGAGTACCAAGCTCCTAGGATGTTACATTAATTCTGTGTATAGTTAAATCCTATGTGAAATTTACGATTAGTTCCATTAACTGAGTAGATCCGGAATCTAATAGTACGTTAATATTGGTTGTGTGAACCTTTCAATTAGTATTTATATGTGTAAACCCTTAGATAATTTGATATACAGATTAGTATAACTCCAAACTATTACTTTCTGAAGTAATTCTTTACTGCTCTTGAACACTAAACAAATTATAGTGCTTTTAAATTTTCCACTTTTTAAGTTATTCCATTTATCAGAAGCTAAAAGAAGCAGTAAATCTCAACATTTTCATAAGCATCCAGATGTTTTTACGTCCTCATTTTAAAGACAACATTAGGACGTCTACGAGATTATTCATGCAATAATTATGACCACATTTTATTTTATGTCATAAATCTAAACTGCCTGACAATGAAACAACACTTCATAAACCATGTTTCATAGAATCATTTTTTCCTAAACGTTACATTCGTCATTATATTTTGAAAAATAAGATCGTAGTCAAAAATTATGACTGGTTGATGTTGGTCGGCGGCCTACGCTCCATTAGGGGTAACAAGCGTAAGTAAGTAAGTAAAAAGTTATCTGTAATATATTTGTGGTGGAAATGACAATGTAATGAAATACACATAAAATCGAAAATGTACTTATTCCCAAAATAATACACATAGAACCTAAAAGGTTCTGGCGATTGTTTCAAAACATTCCGCATTTTTCCATTTAGTCAGTGACATATTCTTCAGCAAAGTACACCATGTATGGAATAAATGTTTGCGAATAAATAAAAAAAACTATGGCATACATATGATGAGAGAATATTGTTTCTTCAATTAATTCATTGCATAAAGAAGGATATCAGATATTATACTGATTTAGGTAAAATAAAATAAAATGTGTTTTACCAATGAAATTTGTGATTGTATACTAGTTAAAAATCTAACCAATCAGATGTGAGTTGTTTTTTTTTCAACCATCCATTAATGTCACATTGTAAATTAATTAGTTCACATTCAAGTTATCAGAATACTCAACTGACACAGAAATTTACAATTAGAAATTTTGAATTATCAATTACAAACAAATTAGATCTTGAATCTGTCTTTTTAATTGTCTTTATTTTTTATTAAGAATAATTAAATGCATCTGGAAATAATAAATATAAATTTAAATGCAAAAGACATGCCTAATGGAAATAACTATGATAATTTTGGTCGAATTTACGTTGGCCAATTTACAAGACCATATCATACTTTGGGATGCAAGTAATTGGAGGTTAGTTAAAGTAGTTTGAATAACTTAAATATTCATACATATATATCGTAGGACATTATCAACCTCTTTATTATGTATAAGACTCTGTTGACGATGAAGAAAAATAAGAAATTAAATAGTAATAACTTTTTCACATTGTAATAAAATAATTGTAGTCTAAGCTGTATGATAAACTAAGAAAATCTATCTTTAATTATTTTGTTGCGTTAAGGTAAACGATTGGAATATATTTTCGATTCTATAAATCATATAACTCAAAGCATATTCTGTGTCTTGTTACGAGCTGAGTGAATGTTAGCAATCACTATTCTCGTCCATCATTTAGAAACTCCTACAAAAGCTCTCTAACTAAAACTTTCTAGTTTAAAATGTGTTGAAAAATCTATGATTAACAGTCATGCAATATAGGAATAATTCGATTACATAGAAATTTATTCAATTTTCAATGAATTTAAAATCCTAAATTTTATATTTTGCTTGTATTTAAAGTATATTTGATAAATGTTTTCATCACATTTTAACAACACTTGAGATAATATTGATACCGATCAAATATCTAGTAAGTCTGTTGTCATGGTTTTATTTTGATTTAAGAACATTCACTCTAGAGAGATGAAACAGAGGGTTTTCAAGGTCTCATGAGAGTAGTGTTGGCTCCAAATCAGTGATTTTATTTCCAATGCACTCAATAGATTGTTCAAGTTACTTCACAGTAGCATGCATTAAACACTTATCAAGTGACAGTCAAATGTTGGCAATTTCCATACAGTAAATTAATCATTTATTACGAAACATTCTCAATTAGTTATATGCGTATGTGTTATTAATGTCATACTACTATGCCGTAAATAATGTTAAAGCTTTAATTGTAGTTATTTTGATCACTCTAGCTTCATAATGCTAAAACAACTTGTTCAGATTTGAAAGAAGTAACAGTGGAATAAACATGGATCCATTCCGTGATTTTGTTCTCATGGCGATACAATCATAAAATTATGCCAGAGTTACGATGGTATGCCATAATCCTTTCTTACAATAACAACATTATTACTGCAGTAAGAAAATCAATTGTGCAAATGGCCATCAATATTTGATAAAATAAAACCAAAAACAAACTGTTATAAAGAAAGCATAGTAATAAAACTATTCAACGTAGGAGAGAGAGAGAGAGAGAAAGATACTTTATGCATTCTAAAATTTATAATCATTGCTGGAGAATCAACCGTATAAATTTCATTCGTTTATACAGTTTGGCTACTAGAAATACAGTGAGTGTATACCAAAGTGATCATACTCATGATTATTTCTTTTAGAAATCTTGGTAAACATTGGCATGGTGGAAATCAGAAACGCTGAACTCAACGCAAGTAATTTCCTTTCAATAGTGTAAGAAGTACGCCTTTTTCAAGATATCTACTGAAACATAAAATCTAAACCAAACAAACAAAATTTGTAAGAGGATGTTTTAGTTGAGAAATATGTAATTGTCAGTTAAAATTGTTACAGCACAAACTAAAATTAATGGGAATTATGCATGATCATCACAAATAAGAACTTCAATTGTTATCTTGAAAGTGAAGTTACTTGAGGTATTAAGGTGTAGGAAAGTTAGTGATGATTCGATTTATTTGTATACTTTGCCATAAATTGGTCAAAGTAAGAAATACCATTATTTTTATGCATCTCGTGTACACAAATTCTAGTTGCGAGACTAACGACTTCTGTTTGCAATTCTATTGTTGATACATGTTAAAGAATTCTAAAGTTCTTGATGTAAACATTTCGTAATAAAACTAGACGTTTTCGATTAATTCTCGTGAAAAAAAGTGAATGTACTGCTAAATTCTTTTATTTCTACAGCTGTGATCTTTACAAATCAAAAAAAAACGTCAAAACTAGTGAGATGAAAATATAGGTTTTTAGATTTGAGATCAAGAAATTTTTAATCCTAAACTGGTATTCGTTGCCAACCAATCGAAAATCAGAAAGCCCAGAAAACTCTTTCATAATTGCATAAATCATCTAAGCAAACTAAGAAGTTAGACCTAAAACATGATAACTTCAGATTTAACCTAGAAACTGTCATTCTCTAACAAGTATTCTACTACTAGCTATATTTTTGGAAAAAAAAGCAAAGCAGAACACTACGAGATCTTTTTTTCTTTAGACATCATTTTCTTTAGTCAGTGAACGAACTGCTATTTTGAAAAAAAATTTATCAATTATTTCTTTGAGGTGCAAAGAGATTCGGAAATAATCACTTAATGTAACGTAAAAATATGCACAAAGACAATAATGAAGAAAACACATTCCACAACTGATTGACTGGAAAAAAATAATGTGAAGCAAAATATACGTAACTAGTAAAGTTTCACAAATTATATATATATATGTATATATACATAAATCCTCATTAAATTTAAGTACTTTACAACTATAAAAACTTGGAAAAAAATCTCTACAGCATTCTTTTCCTCATTACACAGAGAACAATAATTATTCAATAGCAATAATGAAGATTTATGAAGATTTTATTTCATCATAATGTACAAATGTTAACAGTTACAAGATTCAATCTTAAAAAGAATTATTTTTTATTAGTTGTATTTCTTTTCCCTTCAAAAATATCAATTTCAAAAAGTGAAGGTTAACTTTACTTAGGCCATATGCATACAATATTTGTGTTTATGCAACAGGTGATAACAAATGTCATCGGATTTTTTAAAAATAATATTCGTATTATGCTGATTAATAAATGTCACATTGATTTGTTTTTCTTATAAGTGAATCGTAGTTGGTGGCGTATTCACACATCATATACGCATGATCTCAGCTCAGAAAGCCGAGAAGCGATATATATGTATATATATAATTCTTTATTTTATATTCTGCCTTCAATAAAATAACTAAAGATGACTGAGTTATTTAATCAAAAAGCCGATTATCACTCGGCCGTTTGCAGGTTATGTAAACTTTATTTCCCTTATTAAATCAATTTCATGAAATTTCAATAGAGCTCTCGTGATTAAGACTTCATTATAACTGTAAAATAGAAATTTTCTGAACGCGAATTTAAAATGAAAATACTGAATGAATATTTAACGAAACAATTTACATATTCGTTTATTAACATACTGTACGATTAGTAGCAGTTAATTTAATCATATGCCTAATAAACATGTGAGCTTTTGAAGCTATTCTGTTTGAAGAGACATTCTTTTATCTTTAGTTTATATATTTATGTGTATTTTTCTTTTTTTTCCTGTTCTCTTTGATTTTAACACCTGTAAAACATAAATATAGAAATTTATTTCAAAGAAATATCAAATTTCATGTTCATCATTAGCGCATAGCTTATCTATTCAGAAATACTTTAGTTTTTCTGTTGAAAATATTGAAAAACAATTAAGAATTTAGACTGATAATTTATCTTAAATGGCATTTAATATTACTGATTGTGTACAATTGTTTTTCTTCCTAAGAATAATGTCTGTTATGGAGCGCAGGTGGAGGTTTGTCAGTGTAAGATCAATTGTATTCTAAATATTTCTCATTTAGTTTGTACTATTGCAGCCTTTTAAAGTTTCGGTCAAAATATATGTATAATCATGTGTTCAACAGGATAAAAATGCATTATTAAAAAGGTTTGCTTACCGTATAGTACCATGTTTCAAAAAAAATATATTCCATTTTCATCGGCACTCGGTTTTATAAGCCGTAGCTAAAAAACCGTCGAAACAATTACGTTTCCGTTAAGCATATCTTGTGAGTCTAAGACTGTTAGAATACAAGTCTGTTGAAAGTGAAATGATTTGAAGTTTTATGATAATTATTTAAGATAACTATAGGTAAAATATTGAGATAAAAGACAAGGTAATGTATTTAATATCAGAAGAATCTTCAAAAAATAGGAAGATTTACTTGACAAACATGGCGTCCAGTCTTTCTTGTCCAGTCTTTACATGACCCTAGTTTTGGAATTTATTATGATCTTTTTAAACATTCGTCAAAACTAATTGTCTACTCGGTTTAGTAATGCTAGTCAGATTTGATTTTTTGTTGTTATCTTTTAGTCAGCATGCTTATTCTGTATCGCTTGTTGCTTTACTGTTGATTAAAGTAGTCAATCAGCATCGTGTTATCTCTTGTCAGGTTCCGAAGTCTTACACTAAAATAAATAGATTCTTAAACCGAAGGTCTTTCTTCAAATGATCCACATTTCTACTCTTACTGTAAAACGTTAAACCTGGTAATTAAAACTTCTTTCTTCTATTTGTCTAATTAACATTCAACATAAAGTCTTATTATAATAATTGTCCATTAACCTTACGAATCATTTCACCTACTATGAATTTTACGTATATAATCTAATTTATGATTAATACTGACTGTTATTCGACACCTTACAATAAATTTTCCTATCCCTGACATATATAACCTATCCAATTTACAAATGACACATTTTAAAAGTACTGAAGTAGTAACCAACTTAAAAATTCACCGTGTTAGCATATAACATTGTCTAACTTACCTATGCCTGGCATATTTGGGTCATTTCATCTTGAAAATGCACATTAATTAATTAATTAAGACAAAAGTTGCTCAAGGCAGAAGAAATGGTTGAAAACATTTCCTCTGGACGCAAAACTCCGGTTTTTATAAGAACGGCAATCGCTTTAGCCATATGAAAGATTCTTGATCTAACGGATTTAGGCATGTATCATAATTTATTATTGTACTGTTTTGTTGCTTATGGACTCTATGATTTACTTATCACTCACTACTATCTACCAATTCTTTCCTAATTCATTTCATTCTACAGATTACGTCATTCGTGAACAAACATAAATTTTGATTTATAAAGTAAATTATTATCTCATTCATCTTAACCATGTTCATTCTGATCATTAATTTTACTAATTCATTTTAAAACACTGACTTATTCTAATCAACAATGTACACTAGTCACGTCAATGATAACAGCTCTGTTGTTATTTTGCAAACAATCCTGTATTCACATGCTTTAATTTCAGCCCACGTAATTTACCTTAAATTTGATCAGTTTTTTTGTAATTTAATAATTTCAATATATAATTGTCGAATATTTTTATCCCGTGTATCTCTGTATTGGACAGGATAAATTTGTGTCATGGAAATAGAATTGATAAAGATCAATGTACATATAACTATTATTATTATTAATATTACTACTAAAACGACAATTTATAGACTGGCTACCAGTAAATAAAAAAACATTCTTCATAATATGTTTACGCTTATCCTTCCAAATTTGTTAGCAAGGCAAACAAGCTGCTCGTTTAAAGTTTCGTTTCATTTTATTTAAGGCTAAATTTGAGAATTAATAACTTTACATATATATATTTTTCATGTTGATTTGTCTAATTTTTGTTCACTTGCTTTTCCTAATTTAAGAGCTTACTTTAAAATTTATTAATTATTTAAAGTGATATGTTGTCTCTATTGATTTAAAGGTTGATTTTTATGGCTGTTTTTAGACAAATGATAGTTTTCTTTTTACCTAGAATGATTTTTTCACTGAGGTTTTTTAATTATATACAACATTACTTAGAATCTACTATTAGTTGCATGGTTACCAATCGTTATGTCCGATATAATGAAGCAGTAGAATATTTCCTATTGTAATATGAGTTAGTTGAAAAAAAACTATTTACTTTTGAGAAACAAAGAAAGCACTTATAAGAATTTATTATACTTTTAAAAATGAGCTACTATCAGGTTGGAGATGTTTAAGAATTTTATTTACTACATTACCCAACACAGGAACGGAACACTTTTTTAAGATTCATTAGTTTTAAATTCTCATATTACCCGATAGAATGTTGTCCGTTAATCTAACGATAATTTAGTGAAATATCGCGTGTACTAAACACATTACCCATTACCACGAACATAACAACAGAAATAAAAACACTAGAAACGTTAGTTTACTTTTCAATTAGTAATTTTCATATCACGTAAAATGTTTTTTTTTCTCATTATGTTAGGTTCAAAGAAAATCGAAATGATATTTATGCCAACGAAGGTGACAATCTAATATTTATCTGTCCGAAAAATCGAACATTTTCTCAAAACTTATATTGGGTATGCGTTATATATGTAAATAAATGCATATATTTAACACAGATATTTGTATATAATATTTATACGATTATTGTTTTCGGAGTGTTTTAACATAAACGATATGCATTTTCACATTTCCAACCTGTTTTACCACATAGAGAAATCTTTGATTAGTATCAGTTGGGAAGAGGAAATAGGTCACGATTAATAAATAAATGTCATCAGCCTAATATATCTTCTGCTTATTATTCGCTGGGTAAAATGTACCGACCAAATCTATCGCTGGTGATGTAATCTAATCAAGTTTTCAAACCAATTTCGTCCATTACAAAGATTTTACTGAATTCAAAAATACATTTTGTATGCTAACTCTAATTATGTTTAGAGCAATAAGTCTTATGCCATGACAGTTATGAAACGAATTAAATATTTCAATCATTTCTCGAAGCTCAAACAACAGTTCTTTAATTCGCAGCACGAATTCATCCGATATGTTATTTAAAAAAGTTATTAAAGAATTGAGTTTAAAAAAGTCAACTAACTCATTTTGTTAGATTTCTAAAGATAATCATAATTCTTGAGATAAAAATCCTACATTTTCTGAAAATAGCTTATGAATCAATGTTCAAGAGACAACCATATTACTTTCGTTTATGTAGTTTGTGTTTAGTTAGTTCAATAGGATGTAAGCTACTATGATTTGAATGTTAAGTAACTGAATTTATTCATGGATCAAATAATTATATTTGACATTTATTGTAACTTGATCTGTTCAAGTGAAAATATATAAATGGTATTTCTTTACGGTTTGTGTACTTATCTATATGAACAGACAGTTGATTCCCGTGTACAATTAAAATGCAATAAAACATTACCAATTAAAGTTATAAAGCTTTTGGATTGTTTCGGAAATAAATCAGTTCAAGAATTTGTTTTGAAAGTTAGTCGGTTCCCAGAAATCGTGTCACTTCCAAGTTTTCATCCACAAATTCCTGTTTATTTTGTAGGTGAGTAAAAAAATTTTATTATGATTATTTAATTGAAGGAAATCAGTTGTCAACAATGTAGAGATTGTCATGAAATTTAGCCTACATTAATAAAAACCTCCATTTTTTATTCATTTTTTTGAGGCTGAATGAACATTTTCATAATTTATAAAACATAACAAGATCCAATTACATAGAATTAACGACTTCAAAATAGTTGTCAAGAAATCTGATAGGAAAACATTAGAAGATCCTTTGTATGACGTTTACTGATCTCAAGAAGCACTGATCAAGCCATTTTTAAATTCATTTCACTGTTTTATATATCATAGGAATGTTTCTGTGAACCTAAAGACTTGCAACCGCGAACCTAAAATGTAAATATCTGCCAATGAAGTATCCTATACCATATTCAAAACATAACTGTTAAGGCAAGCTAGATAAATATATAACTAGTCTCATTTGAACTTCGCTATCTACTACTGTGGAGTTTGAAATGGAATTGTCACTTAAAATTCCCATTTTACATACTAACTCTGCGTCATTCTATGGGTTTAATTAAAAACACGTATTCGCTGGGTTGCTTAGATTTTCGTTTTTTGGAAATTTAACAATCATCTTACTATATTTATCAACTTCTCAGTACACAAATCGTATACATTTTAAAATCATTGTGTTGCTTTGAGACACAATACTTTTCGTTGAAAACGATGACAGATCTGACCACACAATCACAATGTTCACTCTGAAAGAACCAAACTGCGAAACTAATTATTTGACAGAATGAAATTAAATTTTTTGTTTGATGGTAATGGATAGTGACTTTTTGATATCAACCTAAAAACAAAACTTGTTGAATTGAAGCTTACGTCTTCTCAATTATATGAAACTGATAAAAATAACTCCATGTCAAAACGTCTGTGAACTCATCGGCTGGAAACAAATATGACTACTGATATACAAATCACAGACAAATGAAGGATTATAGAAAAGTTTGACTCAACATAATGGTGTGTCCGGTTGGTAGATTGCAAATTAATAAAAGATTACTCGTTTTAACATATTTAGGGAAACATCATTCATCAAAATGCAAGTAGCTTTCTGATGCACTCCTAGTTTTGCACACCAAAACGTATGGAGAGAATAACAAATACCGACTACTGGTAAATCAAGCGTTCGAATAATAACTGACGTTGAACGAAAAAAGGACAATTGATAAATAATCGATCTCACTTGATCAGACAGTTATCATTCTGGAAAACATTGATCTATAAAATTTAAAACACAACTGATACATACGTAATGCTTAAAAATGATCAATATCCCAAATGCCTAAAGATTGTAGTCATTGAATTATAACGTAACAAAGATATATTAAAATAAATTATTCGTAGCTGAAGTGCAGCATATTATAACCACAATGAAAATTTCGTCAACTGGAGTAACTAATTATTATTTTATTGAGCTTGTGTGAAGCCATAAAGTGTATAGAACCATTTTTTTTATTCCCATTTAAACTAAAAAGAGAAATTTTTTGACAGTTAAAAATTATGTTTTGTCTTTGTTTTATGAAATACTAAACCTTTTTTATTGACGTTTAAACGTTACTTCGTATAATAAATGGAGTATGTCATATTATTTTGCTCATCTATATGCATTAATTTCAATGGTTGTTCATAAAATATCACTTTTCAGTATTGATGTTTGCAATTCAATAGACTTTTACTAAGAATTGATTTTCGTGATTTTGTTCAGTCTAGTTCACCACAATGTCAAACGTATTTTATTCTCCTCTATTGTCCGATTTTCGCCACAAATCATGTCTTTAGACAATAAAGAAGCTGTATGAAATTTTTGCATAACTCATTGCTCTGTTCAAGTCATTTGATCGTATTTTAGTATTGTTTCATGTTAGGTGGCCCTGGAGGCCTTATAGGGTTACTGCCGGTCCGAAGCCTGGATTACAGACCCCGTCCCGTAGGAAATTCAAGTGCTAAAATACGCTATCCAGAAAATGCTGGCCAGTTGTCTATGTTCCATTAGGGGTAACAAGCGTAAGTGAGCAAGTCAGTAATATATGACCGAACAGCCAAACACTCTTTTACTAAATGTGAACTTCCATGTTCAACACTAAACACATAAATTTTCTTATTTCGAATTCAGAGCTTTGACTGAAGAAAAGAAATTCTAGTACCAGTTACGCATACATTTATGCTTAACCAAAGTGGTTCTTATAAATTAAATTCTACAAAATCTAATTGGTTCAATTTCCAAAATGAATGTTCACTTACTTTATTGCTATTTTGGAAAAGCATATTGTTTAGAGTTACAATTCACGTGTAAACAGTGTTATACACTGAAAAATACGGTAACTAACTGAAATATGTTGAACCGGTGGTTTCATAAGAAGGTCTTTGTTTAATTGTCGGCTGAGAAATTACTTCATTACATTACAAACTTAATATACATGTTTACATATACACATAATTCTGAAATTCAATAAGTAACCGACGAGAACAATATACTTTAAGTGACAGAACAATTTCGACAAATAGCTTTCAATTTCCTCTTAGTAAATACCAACATTTTAGAATATTGATTTTCCCAGCAACAAGATTTTTGAATTATTTAGTCACATATAAGATATAAGTATCGAATGAAAGATGATCAGTCATCATCATCAATTTTTAAAAATTCAAATTTTATAATAAGATAAGATTTAAATAGAACTTATAAATAATAAATGTAAATAAACAATGCATAACCAGACAGTGTGCTTTATAAATTCAATACTTCATTCTTCTAGACGATAGATATTATAAGATTCATTTGAATTTTCTTTATCATTGATTGACATTTCTTCAGTTATTTTTTTTCTATCAAACAAATATGTATATACATATGTATTTTTTGACTACTTTCTTCATAAAATATTTAAATATATATATTTTCATGATTCAATAGCTCAGTCTGTGATATGTCAACAGAATAATTTTCGTTTAAGCGTTAAATTAGTGTCTGGCAATATGACAAATATTTCTTATCAAAATGTTACCAATGAAGAAACACAAACAACGAAACATTCCAGAAAATGTAAGTCAAATTGATTACAACAATAAACAAGTCTATGGAATGAAAGTTTCGTCGCGGTTATACTTGATAAGTTTTAACATGAATGAAAATATGTCGATTGTACATGTAATCTTAAATTTGTTTTGTAAATTTTCGCATCTAATTTTTGTCGGATATTTTCAGAATGTAAGTTAAAAATGCCATTGGAATGTTGCTCTTTCAAAATGAATATGTCTTTAACAACTATGAATATTCCAACCGTCGGCGGTTAGTCAATTAGAAATTTGAAAGACAAAATTTTAGTAATTACCAATAGATATTCTTTGTTTAAATACACGTACATACGTTACAGTGTTAAATAATAGTCTTATTCAATACTATTTAAAATCATGGTTTCTTATTTAAGGCTTGCTATACGCTATCGATGTGAGTGAACGAACGGTTTACAAGTTCTGCTACTTCTATAATCATGTTCAAATTTAACACTATTCGTGGAGACAGCTATGCAATGAGAATGAACCCGAATAGTATGGCTAGAAAAAAAATTAAACTAGTGAAATTTTGAACACTTTTAATTTAATGGACATAGAATAAAAATCAACAAGAGCACAGCATTCGCCACCATAGAGCATCAATGTAGAATTCACGAAGCATAACGATTGAAATTTCTGTGTGAAGCTTTTGGATGCATAAATATTTTATTAGGTCACCGTTCTTCTCAAAGTTTTCACGCACACCTACTCATATCAGAGACTAATTTATCATTGAAGATGATCGTAAACATTATACTAAAAGTAGTCTTATAATTTGATTCACATTATTGATCTTACCAGAATCCATTTTTACATCAAATATGTAACTTACTTATGATTGGTTATTCCTTAAACATAAAGACATACATTTCCAAGTCATTATTAATATAGCCATATGATATTATAAATATTATCATAGCGATTACCCACTAATTCGTACAAATTCATCAGTATATTGATAACCACAACAGATAGATTTTCTGTCGATTTAACAATTTGATAATGAAAATAATTTAGTTTTTAAAGACGTCTGACAAGTTGAACCACTTAAGTATATTCATTGATACCATATTAGTTCATTTGTCGTTATTAAATAGATTGCACTCAATGTTTTTAAATTATTTAAGGATGAGTGGATCAACATCATGACCTAAAGAATGGATATTTGATTAATTATTAAATAAGATTATAAATTAAGATTAAATAAAAATTAAGGCTTAAGTAAACACTTGGTAAGTGGCTATTATCTTATCAACAAATCGAATAACAAGTAATATGTTCCTCAATGATTTCATGAAAAAAGCTGAGTCATAATGTGAAAAGAATCAGGTCAGCATACTAATTTAATGGTTATGTGTACATTTATTGATCAAAGAAGGCTTGTGAAGTATACTCCAAAATAGTATATTACGTGACAGAAATACCAGCACAACCACTTATTATTTTGTGAAAATAAGAGTACCAGAGCGTACCTTTTCATTGCATAATATCCTTGTTGAAAATGGACAGTGAAAGACCCTAGATCAATATTTCTTGTAAGACTGCTCTCGTCAGAAAGTAATGGCTTTATTCTTCAATAATCTGATGTCATTTTCAAGATTCAAACCAACGTCCCACATAAGTAGGTACAATTCGATTTTCTCAAGCTTTTAAACGCCTCTGTTTGACGAGGGCTAATTGACACATAATCATTAACCATCAGAACATACTGAATGTGTTGTCTAATCACCTAAGTGAATGAGCATATTAATCCTTATTAGGAGAATTCGATCATCAATGATAAGTAGACAAGTGTCCTTGACTTCGCAGCGAGCGAAAAATTTAAACCTCTTATTGTAAATTTTTTAACTACAAATTTGTTTACTCTGTGTTTATTCCTTCATTTATCAATTAGCTGATGTAACCTCAAGCTCATCGATTTCTTCTCAATTGAAAACAATAGAAATTCAAAATCATTTGAATGATACAACAGATATATTTTGGAATCAAGAGTATAATACAAAACAATTAAATTGGATTGAATATCGATTTTTACTTTTACCAGCCACGTTGGCATTTTTCACATTGATCAGTATACAAATTGTTTTGTGTGGATTTTGGTTTTCTAATTCAATCACTAAAAAATTAATCAATTGTTTTAAAAAACCTAATCTTAAACACAGGAATCTAGAATTACATGTAAATCGCATGTATAAAAATCGTCAAATGAAAAGATATCTTGATAGGACTAATTCATTTCTATCAACAGATGAAACGTATAAATTATCTGTTCCCAGATGTGAAGTAGAATCTAATGACAGATATTGTTGGAAATCAAAAACTCCATTGTCAATCAAAAAACCTGATTTGAACAATACATTAAAACAACAAAATTGTACAAATCCGAATTGGTATATTTGTTTTAATCAATCAGATAATTATACATCACCTTGCAAATTCATTGACTATCAGTGCACACCAAATTTATTGATAACAAAAAAAAATTCTCTAGTCAATCAGAACATTCCAGATACTTCAACCATTCTATGCAATTGTATAAATCAGTCAACCAATTTGAAATTTATGCAAAATCAAGAATTGTTAATTCCTGTGACAATTTATTTGGATAAAAGTATTAGTGAAGATTGAGATTTAAAAAAAACGGTTGTATCTTTGAAGAATTTCCGAGTGTGTTCAACAGAGAAAAACAAATTTTGTACGTCAGACAGTTCTTTTTTACCAGTGATATTTCATAAAATCAATAATTCAATACCATAATCAATTTTTTCCAGAATAGAAAATACATTATTCAAATAATTCAAACTCCTAAATGAAATACTATTATGAACCACTTCAGTTTCCTGCTTAAAAAAATATATAACAAAGTAGAACTGTTTATAACAATTGGCTCTTATTGTATATACTTGTTTCAGTAGATGGACAGTGATATATCTGTATATAACCTAGTCAATGAAATGTTTGCCTGAAAATTCGTCATCATTCTTTATTCATTTATATGGTAATTTATTGTTTGATATACATATTCATATATAGTGTAAATAAACAGAAAACCGAGCAAACAAATTTTATATCGTAATAATCAAAATTTCAGATTTATCTGACTTCATTTATATTCTATATTTTAGTTGTTTATTTATTTATTTATTCATTTTTATCTGTTTGTTTGTTTGTTTGTTACTGTTGTCCTTCAACTTGTAATTTTAATATGAAGTTTTGTTATGTTTTATCAAAAAAGTAGTTGCTTAATCTCAACAAAAAAAAATAACCTGAACTTCTTATCGATGAATGATTTCAACTAAACATCATGCATAATCTGTACATTAGGAAAGTTCATTACAAGTTTAAATCAAAAAAAAAAAATTATTATCTTTCAACTATAATACAGATTATATACAGTAAAAGAATAAATAAATATTAGAATTTAACATAAAAATAAATCTGTAAGATGATAATCATTCCAGTAAGATATTGAATTATAAATTATGTGAGTAAAATTGGATATATATGAAGTAGAATTTTTCTTGATTTTATCTCATTTTTAGAAAATATTTTAATCATTTACAGAAAAACCAGTGATTATCGATATTGTCTATCTGTATTTGAGTATATCTTAAGTTTGACTATAATAATAATGATAAACATAATATTAAAAGCATTATTATTATTATTATTATTATTATTATTATTATTACTTTCAGACGAAACGGTATATTAACACCTATAGTAATCGGTGATTCAATCTCAAACTGTGCAATGTTTTATACAATTAATTCAAGAAAACCACTTGATGCTTGTCGATGATGTTTTCATTTTGATTAAATTTACATCTTGAGTTGCTTAGACTATCCATCTGTTTATTTGAGAAATTTTGAAAATAGGCGACAAGCAGTACACTGTTATTTGTTATTCTCTATTTACAAAATTTACTAGTTAGATTTTGTCATTGTGCATACATCTACTTATTCTTAAATATGTAAATATTCGTGTATAAATGTCTGTTTCAGTTCATCAGACAAACATACTCTTTTACTCGACATCCATTTATATAAGGCTGCTCAAGTCAAAAAATTCGTTAATTCATGAGTTATAAAACTCTCTCTCTCTCCTTGTCTGCTTGTTACGACTTAAATACTAGCACTAGTTATCCTCTATGACTTCATGTTGTGGCCTTTCTGTTAATCAGCCGGTGTCAAAAACAGTATCTAAGTTGTCAAGGCTATTTATTATAGGATGTTAATTTTTATATTAATAATTTCTAAATAAAATTTTCCAACTGTTAACACCTAGGACATTAATTTCTCGTGACTAAATTCAAAATAAATATTTTTCATGAAATCATTTGTCTGATTAACGTTATGACATTGTTTACTCAGACGATTGATATGCATGTTGACGATTGAATAACACCTCATTGTTTATTTCGACTTAACAGATCGCTGAAATTGTAGTTGATTTTTTATATAGAGGTAAATTCCTTAACAACCAGATCTGAAAATAATTTACCGCAGTAGTAACTTATGAGTTTAAACTGGGTTAGCGAGGAGTAATAAGTTATCTGTAATTAAAATAGGCTTCATGTGGAGATGATAACTGATGAATTTCCAAATAACAGCTCGATGACATTCTCCTTGATGAAATGTTTTAAGCTTCTGACTTCAACATAATTTACTGTTTTGGTGTTGATTAGTTCAGACGCATAACACCAAATCAAAAATCCAGTTAGTTATTTATTCTCCCAAAATGTTTAACTAACAAAAGGAAATTTAACTGGACACAGTGAACTGAATTACGTCCATACATAGGGAAATGCATTCATAATGTGAAAATATTGTACCTTTTTTAGTTCCATTTAAAGTAACATATAAGATATAATTCATAAAACTTAAGCCATTTCAACAGTAAACAGACTAAATGTCATGATATGGTCCGATCGTATCATACTCCAAAGAAACCAATAGTGTTCAATAAAATGTTCACAGTTATAACTATTAAGACGTATTGACGTAAGAAAAAAATTGATTTCCATAATACAGCCATAATTATCATAAAATTCATTGGTTACTAAAATATTTAAACTTGTTACAATGTGAGTTTGATGTAGATCGATTAAGACATTTTATTTTAATGACTTGTTTTCATGCCAAATACCGAAAGTTGTAGAAAGAAAAACGGCAGTTACGGAAGACATATTTTAATGTAGATTTGGTATAAAAGGAAAATGAATACCGTACAATTACTTGACGAAAAAACGGCGTATTCAAACACTTTAGTTGTTTCATTTAAAATTCAAAATATTTATTTAGCTAAGTTATTTAAATAATTTTAGGCACCTAAAAGATATTAGCTACACTACTCAAACATGTTCAAAATTGAAGTGTTTTCTGAGAGAATTATAATTTTAGTTCACCTTATTACGCTGTATATTTCTTAAAAATATTCTGTATTTTATAAGATGTATGATTTTGTATTATAACAAAATAAACGGCATCCCAGTAAGGCTAGAAAGACCATTAAACATACTGAATAGTTAATACAAGACTTTACACTCGAAGCATTATGTTGGAAGGAAAGGAATAGTGATATAGACAACTCTATTTAAGAGTATTGTGTTAACATTTTGATAGTAGTAAGATTCTTGACTGACTTCTAAGTTCATCGAAATCTCACTTCATCTAGGTATACGTATATGAATTAGTGCAAAAGTTTATTTACAGATTAGAGCATCTAATCACTTCTAGAAATATGTTTCTTTCACTTCTGAGTGTATGAACACAGCATAATATTACTTTGTGTAACAAGAATGCTTAATATCGATATGTTTTCACAACTAGGTCAGATGAAAGAATACTAGTGTGAAATATATTATGTTTACCTTATCAACTACAAAGTAAACTGAACATTTTTTAAGCTATATACTTGCTCATGCATTGATGACAACATTTCAAAAACCAGTAATTATTATGAGCATGTTGGAAAAATTTTCCCCGGTAAATTCACTTCGTTGAATACAACAAATAACAAACGGTTTAGGATCTGCGAATCAGCTGTGAAAACAAGTACAAACTGGGAAACATATAAAACGTCAAGTCTCATGAAGCAAACCTAAATAATAATAATAATATTGTGAGAACAAAATATATAAAGAAAAATACCGAGTAAAATATCGTAAAATGTGCTCACTAGTGACTAGCTTCGTGATGAAATTCTCGAGGTTCTAGTGAGAAGACGTAACCAGTGGAGTTCAATCCTGTCGGGTGTAGGCAGTAACAACCGGAGACAAATGGGTGAGGTCGTGCAAAATCCCTAGATCGATCAGAGTTAGACATTAACACCGTTGGATGCCGGCCCAGTGGTCCATTGGTTAGACGTTCGCGCACAATACCAAAGGCCCCGGGTTCGAATCCTGTGAGGTGCAGGAGTCGTGGATGCGCACCACTGACGAGTACCATATCAGGACGAAACGGCCGTCCAGGTTTCTAATGGTGGTCTAACAATGATTGATTGATGATTTCAAATGTGTAAAATACTTCAGTTGCAGTCATATAATTTTCAGAGACGGTTATGTAGAGTACAAAAAGTGATGTTTTAGCTACTAATAGTAGCAATGAATATACAAAGGGACTTAATGTGCGCAATGAACTTAAAAAATGATTGTATAATTAGTTAATATGATCAAAAGTTAATTTATCTATATTAGTATGACTATGTAAGAGGTGAAAAAATTAAAAAACGAGGTTGAAAAGTGTTTTTTTAGATCAATGTTTAGTTATCCTAGCTAAGAAAGGCTAATCATACTTAGATTTTATGCACGTAAGTCACACTGGAAACATTTGATAGCGCTTTTTTCCGTAAAACGAAACAAAATTGATGTTATTTATTGATTATTTGGTGTTTAATTTCACTTTTTAAAATTAGTAAACTAACAGAAAAACAACATCAGTACCTTCGTTCAGTTATATTTTTTGTATACCAAAAACAAAAAGGTGATCATAAAGCTTGTATAACATGAGTTCCATATGAAAGGTTTAATTATTTGTTGGATATACTTTGGAGCCAGAGCATGTGGAAATGAATCAGCTTCACAAGCAAATTATCAACATATACACTCCAACGTTTGGTTATGTAGTTTTTGAATAAATGATAAATTCTGCAGCTCAAGTAAATTAAATTTTAGGAAAAATTTGTGGAAAGGGAACTATGCCATGAGTAACTGGTCTGACGTACCACTTTAAGCTCTTTTATGTAAATGTGATTATTATTCTTTTATTATTGTGCTCTACAACTACTTAATATCTATCTAACATTGTGTTGGGGACGTTAGATCCCCAGAACTCACTTGGAAAAGATCCTGATTTTGGGTTGGTTGCGTATTCGCGCATAAGTTGCTTATTTGAACTTCAGCTTAAATTTCTCACTCAGAAAATCCTTGAATGTCATCGGTTAATGGATCTTTTCAGTATGCTATTTTTGTGGCCCTTCCAAGGACGATTCTAGCATATATTAATAAGCTCGATTCGCTTGCTTGTCGACCTCGTATTTTCTGAGTGCTTGCAGAATACACTTTCTACGCCTTATCAGGACTTCTTGATATAGTTAGAATAGCCTATGGTGCCACCGCATCATTTGTCTTCGCTCTCGTTTACCGAGTAAGGTGAACTCGTAATGGTTTCAAGCATATCAACTGACGAACATTGATACAATGAACAATTTAATTTCATTAAAAATTACTTATCAAAATGAAGCTGTTTAATAATTGGACATCATCCCAATAGAATGATTGTTTAGTCTTCTTTATTTTTGTTCCATTTCATGCCTCTAATGGTATTACTTATTGAAAAAAATATCATTACCTCAGGAAACTGAAAACGTGTGAAAATATAGACTACACATATATTTGCTGGTGATTGATAACCATTATCTAGTAAATAATGTGAAAAAGAACAAAATTACTTTCCTGTAAAATTAGAAATAAGTATTTAATGTGACTGTCCATGATAAATAAGTGATAGTTATTTAATATTATAATTTTCACGAGTCAATCTTACAAAAAATTGTTCTTTAAAAAATCTACTGATACCACTGATTAAACACAAGAATAAATTTCAATTAGTGAGAAATGAAAATTATGAATTTTTTTAAAAAAAAACAATGCATTCAGTGATGGTGAAATGAATAGGCTGCT